TCACTTATATCTCCCTCTTCATATTAAAATTTCAGTGCAATAAAAAGCAAGACATACACATGCCTTGCATCCACAGCTTCAGCTTCTCTGTTCATTCTTACAGCACAATGTCCAGGCCAGCACAGTGTTTAAGCTCTCTGCATGAGCTAGCAAGGGTGCATTTTGATTCTGCATCTTTTTTGTGCAATATTAATCATAATTCAGTAGGCTACAACCAACATTTTCAGATGCACCAGTGCCAACATTAATGCAGTATGACACATCAAATATGAGAAGCTGACCAGCTTTAAAACATTTAAGTACAACTATATTTGAGGATATGTGATACTGAAAACCCTGTTTATGATTCCCAGTATTTGGGAAAAGCTGTTTTCCAGTTTCCTTAAGGGTAGAACAGTGACAAAAAAAGAACCTAAGTTTAGAAATGCTGAAACTGTTAAATCACAAACTGCAATGATGATGTGTTCGTACGTTTCAGGAAAAATGCTTCTGCACTCCAATAAATAATTATGACTTCCAGAACCATCAAAACACAATAATTATAACACTAATTACTCCAGTGAATCCCAATCCTACTAAAACTGTGCTATTAATTCCATCATAACTCTCAAACACACCAATTTGGACTGGATCGCCCTTCTACGCTCTATAAGCATATTGTTAATTGCTTTTATTTCCCATGAAAGAGCAAGCACCTGACTTAAAACTTTGCTTATAGTATCATACTTGTAACTCCATGTTCAGATGGCTGAACAATTGTTTCTTTAGTTAATCACTATTTGATAGCACAGTATTAACTTCTTTCAGCCAACTACGTAATATATGGATATTTTCAAGTATGGACTGAAAACTGCAAAGCATGTCCTGAAATTTTATGACTTACTAAGACCTCAGGAAACCACATGTCTCTGCTTCTCAGCCATTTACTGATCTGACACATCTCTCTGTGTTGCTCCTGTAAAAAAATCACACTGGTTTAAACAGGCACTGCTACAAAGACCAAATGACTAACAAATTTATAGAACAAGGTACTATACTGTGCAAGGTATTCCAGTAATGTGTTTACCATACTCTTAAAAGCATTATTGCACACAGTTTTGAAGAGAGTTCTGCCTGCCTTTATTTGGTCTATGATTACAGATGCCAAACTGTTTTGCATAAAGTAGAAAGCTGCTTAAGACTGTACTTCCAGCCCCTGCCCTCATATAGTAAGCGCAGATTCTCAAAAAGCTCTTAATGAGTAAGTGCTGCAGGCATCCGGCTTGCCATGTGGTTGGGGCTTCTTGGTTTCATGCTGCCAAATGAAGTTAGACATTTTAAATGCATCTGTCATCTTTTCAATGCCATCCTAGGGTGTCATTGCTTCAGCTGGCAGAGAATGGGATGAATCTTGGCTTCACTGAGTCAAGATATCACACCATTGTGAACAGTTGTTTCAATTATGACTGTCTGCCTTCATAGTAGTAGCTTACTCCATAGCATTCTGTTTGTGTTCTTTCCACAACAAATTATAGCAAATAGCTTCAAGGTAAACTCCAAGAATAAATAAACTCCAAAAGCACATATTCAGTCTTTATTTTATTAAAACAAGATTTGTTCTGCTGAAGGAATGAATGAATTTATAACTGCAAAACAAACAAGGAACAAAACCTTTGCTTCTGGGCATGCTCAGAACTATGCTATTACAAATTTTTCTGAAAAATATTATCAGAAATGCTGTAATTCAGCAGGTAAAATATTAAAGGCAAAAATTCAGTGATTTTAGTTACATTAGTGAAAGAGACACATTTTACTTTTCCTATCTGTCCCCAAAACACCAAAAGCTGAAAACCCCTTATTTCCAGTACGAGTTCAGATTACTTTGTTCTCAGGCAGAATGACCCCAAAGGAAGAAGAAAGGAAAACCAACAAAGGAATCAAGAATCATCATCCCACTCCTGTTTCACACCATTTAGTGAGGTAAAGCAGACTCCCAAGCACAGGAGCACCTGTGCCAACCTGCCCTCTGCACTTCAGACTGAGACAACATCCTCTTCTGTCACCTGTCACTGATTGACTTCTAAACAGAATGTACTGCCCTGAAATTTAGCTCTTTACAACATAAAAAAAGAAATCCAAATACATGACTCAGAAAAACAATGGAAACAACAAATCTGAAATAAAATGAGCAGAAGATACAGAGAAAGAACATCCAGCAACACCACTGAACCAGTCTGTAGTATTGCTGTATCCTTACAAACCCACATTGTGTCAAGTGACCACAGACAAAAGAGACAAAGAAGCAGATAAAAAATTACAACATCAAGCAAAATTATTGCAAAATACATTATCAGTAACAACAACATGAAAACCACAAAACACATTCTCATTTGGGCACAAATTCAGCATGAAACTTAAAACACAATTTCAGATGAAGCTATAGGCTCATTATAAGCAGAAATAACCTCATTTATCTGAGTCCCAGAGAAGGGTACTTTCATAACACAATTATGTGTGAACATTGGATACAAACGTGTCAGAAAGAACAAGAGAGCAAAAAATCCAATCAGAAAATTAACTGAAGAACTGCAAGGTGCAAGTGTCAGATATCTGAAGTTATGGGGGACTGCTATTTTATGTTTGGTTAGCCCCTGGCACAATATGACAATATAATAAAAACTACAAAGTTACACATCAAAATTGCATATGTACTGAAGAAGAAATGGTAATATTTTTCTCAACTATTAAAGAAGGTACTGGTTCTAACTGCTGCCAATTTAATTCAAAAAGCATGAGCTTATTCCTCTCTACTCCAGCTCTTTTCTTGCTTCTCTATGTTAAGAGATGCAAACATACTGACAAAACCTCTTTGCCTCTTTGTCTACTAACATTAAAAGAACCCAGTCTCCCCCAGCCAAAAAAAAACACAAAAGGGAAAAAGAAACACAAAAATAGAAACAAGATGTATCACTGAGAAACAACCAACCCACCCACCAGTTTTGGAGAGAAAGTGTTTCAGTTCTCAAGTTTGCCATTGCTGTAGACTTCACAACCATGTTTTGAAGTATTGGTCATGCTGCTAATGAAACAATGTTCTATTCCATAAGGGCAGAAACTCCATTACTTATCTAACAGGAAAGTGCTTGCCTATTTCTCAAGACCCCAAAATTTTCTCCTTCTTGCACATGATATTAAGTATCTTTTCAATATTTTGTTTTGCAAAATGCTCATAATTCTCATTCCAAAGCAGTTTCTGCTTTTGCTTCTCATATCACAGTCTTGCCTCTTTTTCCTAGTGGTCATCAAGCATGCACAGAAGAGGTTTCTGAATATTTGGAAGTGAGGCACAGATTAACATCCAAGCCTACAGTAAACCTTATTTTGACAATGTCAGCCACATAAATGTTTCCAGACTTGTACCTCAAGTCTTATTCTTCTAATAAATTCTTACACACTTTTTTTTCATTTTTCTTTTTTTTTAAAGGAAAATATATAGCTACTTATACTCTTATTTAAATATAACATTTTTCTTCTAAAAATCCCATCCTGATAAGAGGGTGCATTACCAAAAACAAAAGACATTACAGTCTAAAAATATTAGTAATTTTATAGTCCTCAACACATCTTTATTACTCAAGATTTCAAGGAAAAGTTGTGCACTGGAATAAGACAAATGTACACTGAATGAGTATGGAGAACAGTATTTTGACTCTAAACAAATACACACTAGTGTTCTTAAAGTACAATGTGCATTAAAACTTATTCACACACAGAATAATTCATGCTCTTCACGTGTGAAATACTGTGAAAAATAAGATGGAAGAAGTTAGGAAAACATTCTTGTATCATAAAAATATGTTAGAATGGGACTTATCTATAGTTAAAGCTTTGCTTTAAAACAAACTTTATTTAAAAATCTTCTTTTGCTTTATCTAAAAATTAGCCTTTCTATAAAAACCATTCCTTTAAAACTTTGCTTTAAAAACATCAGTTTTATATTAGACAAAATATTAAATTATACAGGCACAATTAGTTGAGGGCTTTAAAAATTTATATTACAGCCCTTCATTTTCCAGTGACTTGCAATACAGTCATAAGATTCTGTGTCTACTGACAACCATAGGAAAATTCGTCCAAAGAAATCAACTCTTATATAAAAAATAAAATAAATTAAAACAAAACAAATAAAAAAAATATGTCAGACCATATTTGACTTGTAAAGGAACTTACTTTCCAGCTGACACATGCACATCTTTTATTTATCTTAGGAAATATGCATATACATTAAAAACATCCTCAAAATATTCTCTGAACATGTGGTTCATGATGACAGCTTTGATATTTCCTTCACATACTGTATATTAAAATAAACCATTTCCAGGTCCACCTTTATCTCAGCCCAAATCTGTGACCCTTGGCATTTCAGAAAGAAGTGAATGAAGAATCAAGAATGGTTTTATTTTCTGGGGGGAAAATGTACAGATATGTTCAATGCCAGAGACAGCAGGGTCTACTCTTTTCCATGTTTTTCTTGTGTTCTGAAAAAAGTACTGTACCACTAGAGAATTTATGAAGGTAAAATAGATTATATAATGTATCAAATTGAAGATTTGAAAACCAAATCCTGGATTATGATGATGTTTAACTGCGTGCTTAATTTACTGGAAATGAACCATTAATCTTAGGTTTTAAAGCACAGAAACACCCGTGAGACTGGCTTCATGTCTCCTAACCACACCAAATAAACTGCCATCATAACAACTATTAAAAAAAGAAAGAAAACTAAGCTAAAACACCATGGGTTTGGGGTTTTTTTCCCATAAAACCATAGTAAATGGAACATCAGGAGCCAAACTTGAATCTCTGTGGAATACAATTTTTAGTCAACCAGGTTTTTTAACCAAATATTTGAACTCTAACACATTTAGATGGATGCTGTGCTAGGTTTATTTAAATATTTTCCTGAAAATTTAGAAAGTTTGAACTCTAGTCCATAAAAATTTAACCAACACTACACCAAATAAAGCCAGAAAAGCACAGTACCCCAAACTCAAGGCTGACATTCTGAAACAACTTGCTGCTATTTGTTTGCATTATAACTTTTCCATCCCCCTCACTAAGGAATGTGAAATTCACCTACAAACTTAATCAACAAGTTATTAAAAACAAAAATAAAAGCCCTCAAACATAACCCTGTACTTCTTTTAGAATTCAAGATTTCACTTCAGCTACCACCATCTGAACAGTCCCCTAAGGAGACATTTTTCCTTACCAGCATGGTCCATTATTGCTTGATGAGAGCCCACAGTGACTTTCAGTCAAAAAAAAAAAAAAGCTTTGGACATGATTTCAGGAACAAAGAAGTCAATACAAAAATGTGTAAAATCATATTTCATTTCAAGAAACCATTGAATTGATCTGAATTGTATCATACTGTATTAATTTTAATGCCATTCCACAGGCAAGTATATATTATGTGTTGAATTAGGTGCACGTATACACAAACACAAAATACATACAGAGAATTCAGCCCTGATTGATGTATTATCTTCATTAAATTTCTAGCATAGCAAGTGAGTCATCTTCTGCACTTTAGAATTACGTGAAAAAATTTAAATAGGCACAATTAATTAACACAGCTTCTAAATCACCTTATTATAGTGCACTGTCACGCACTGATAATACCATAATAACAATATGATACCATTCAAGGTCATTTTGCTGATGTACAGGTGAAGACTAGTAAATATGATTATAAGTGCTTTTAAATCAAATCCACAACTTCTGCAGCTTTACACAGTAGAACAGTGCAATAAATTGTGTCCCCATATTCCAGGAACAAGAGCTGAGTTTACAGTTTTATTTATTTCACATTAGACTGGCTTTGCACTTTCTGGATCTCTAGCACTTCAACTGCATTGTCTATGGCCTTCTTTCTTCCTCCTTCCTTCTTCCAGGTGCTGGCTATAAAAAAAAAAAGAAAAAAAAAGTTCTTTTGGTAGCTAGCTCTCACCTGGTAGAACAAGACAGTTTCGAAGCAATGGTACAGCAGAGGTTCTTCTAGAGGGCCGGTTCACAGTGCCAGGATGACCCCGATCTCCACTGACTTCCCAGCTCCTGACTTTGGAGGAAGCTTGCTCTGGTTTCTTGGGAAAAGATTCTGATGTGACTTTCTGCCTTTTTTCAGGAATCCCTGTTACAACTGTTGAGTTCAGAAAGGCCCTTTTTGGTTTCCTCCTCACCTTTAATTTTTTAGCATCTGGCTTCTCTTTCTTAGGGTGCTTTCCCACTGTAGTTTTCCTTGTCTGGTACCTCTGGATGGAGAAAGCAGATTTCTGGGCACAAGGCTGAAGTTGTCTTCTCATACCCTCTTTCTGCTGTTTTTTAGTTCTGGACGTTTGTTTGCCTGTGGTTACTCTGTTTCCTCTCCTCTCAAGAGTACATCTGACAGACTTAGATCCTGCAGCCTTTCTGGAAAAAACTGGTTCTTTGTTAGTGCCTTCTTTTCTCTTCCATATTGCTTTTGGAGTCTCCCTCTCTGACCACTCACTCCTGATGGAGGTCAGAGGAGTTTTGGTAATTCTATTAAATGGAATTAATCTACAATCTCCTTCTATCACAGAGTTCAAAGGTGAAATGATTAGGTGTTTAAAAGAGTTCTCAGATACAAGACAATCTGTTTTTTCTGTGGCAACAGATGGTCCATCTGCCTTTTGACTTGAGGCTGCATCATTCCCTTTATCTCGATCTGGCAGGAAAGATGCTGAAGAAGAACTACAGAAGTCTGACCGATTGAGTGACTTTGATGGTGTGCTTTCCCTCTGTGTATCAGCTAGTTTCTTCATGTTTGCATCAAAGCTGAGACTTCTGAAAAGCTGTCGAACATGAGAGGGCTTTTTGGCCTTTTCTCCAGCTGTACTCTTAGGAGGTGTTTTCAGAATTCGATTTGTCAGTGGGTCATAATATTTGAGAGAACATTGTTTGTATTTATATCTTACAGAGTCCTTGCTATCTGTGGAGTGATGGTTTTTCCTCATTTTGGGAATATCTATAGGTTTACCTTTGCACTGTTTTACCTCTGGGCATGAGAGTACATACACCACTGTCTTGGGCTGTACAGGGCTCATGATCTTGCTATAGGACTCTGGAAGTTTAAGGGCACATAGTCTAGTTTTCATGTTTGGAGTTTTTTCATTCTCCAGACATGCAATGCTTGCTTTCTGATCAGCTGGATCAGATTCCCTTCTAGACATTTTCCTTTTTGCCACAGGGTAGTTCAGCAGACTTGTTTGGGTGCCATGGCTGACTTTAACCACCTGACACCTTGAAGCCAGGCGCCATGTCCTTTTCCTAGGCCTTTTTACAATTTGTGGGTTGCATAGTGTATCTGAGGCTAAAGACGGGTTATCAAAATCAGAGCCACCACTTAAAGCATCATTAAATTCTGGCAGTGCTTTAACTGGCGCACTTTCTGTTCTATTACTCTCAATAATATTGATCCTTTTTTCATCCTTCTGCTTTTTTTTCTTCATTCTCTTCCCTGTACAATTGGCTGAGGATTCACTGTTAAAGTAGCAGCGAAAACGACCTTCCCTGAAATCACGCACAAGTTCTTCAATTTTTATATCATCTTCATACATTATTTGAGACCAAGTTTTTCCCACAAAAGAAGGAGGCACGTGAGGCAGGGCTGGAAGAACTGGTTCTTCGGCATGAACTACAATGTCCTTTTTCACTGCTTCTATTTTCTCTAATGACTCAGTTTTTAAAACAGAAGAGAGATGTGTTCCATAGTCCTTATCTTGCAAACATACTTGGACCTCTTTCAGGAATTCTATATCTTTTATAGCTGCCTTGGGTAAATCTGTTCCTACCTGAATTGGTGCATCACAGTCAAAACTCATTTCAGAGCCCTCTAAATTAGTATGGTCCAGAAGTGATGAAAAAGGTACACTGGGATTATTCTCTTTTTTGAAACAAATTTCTTCAGATGTAGTTTCATGGCAGTATTTCACAATTACATCTTCAATAGTTTCATCCACTGAACTTTCATCCCGTCTGTTTGTCTTTATGTTTTTGCATCTTGCTAGCTGTGGGGATGTCCCAAGATCTAGGGAGCTGCTGATACCCACAGTATCCCTGAGATGGAGATCAGACACCAAAGTTTCATCCTGAGTTCGTAAACTATCTCGCTTTGAGAGAGATTGACCTGAGGTAATAAAGGAAGAATTGCTGTGGCTGTGTGTAGGATTCTGATGAGAAACTGAAGGGCATTTTGGGTGAACCAGTGCTGGAGCAGGATTCAAGCGTGGGTTCAATAACACATCCCTACTGCAGACCTCCACTGCTCTTTCATCACATCCTCTTCGCAGAAACAGATTTGATGCTGCCAAATCCCTAACATTTTTTCCTGCTCTAGGATTAACAGAGGAACTGTGGCTTGTAGGGCTGAGAGAAAACTGCTGAGTTACAGGGCTCACAGCTGTAGACTGACCTTCACGGCTATGACCTGCAATTCGGGCATGTTTCAGATTTACCCATTTCTTATCACTACAAATGCCAGCAGACTGCTGGGATATCCCTGGAACACATTCCTGGCCTCTTTGAAGTTTTTGCAAACCTGCTTGCGTAAGAGAAGTTTTCTTTGTGCCCTCATGAGACAGGCATGGAACAGAAGAGCCTATTTCATGAACAGACTCCTGGTCTTTGCTGGAAATCTCCTGTTTCTCACTATTCTTCTTTTTCTGCATCTCTTCTGAGGACAGGCAAGAAATCCTAGGAGGCTCCAGAGTGACGGGGAATGGCATGTCATCATAGGTTGGTCTAAAGGGGAGGGAAGAAAAACCAGTTTAGATAAATAGTGTAAATATGCTAAAAATGGTTCAAACAACAGCAGTGTGGGGGTTTTTTATGAGTCATGACCTAGACTGCATCACTAATAATGAACAAAGTGAAATTACTACAGTTGTTCTATGCATCCCAGAGATATTAAATTTTTTTTAATTATGGAGGGGAAAATGCTCCACGAAGCTAAAGATAACAATTTGGGCATTAGTTTAGCCCCCTCTTTATGCAATCATCAATTAAGAATGGCCAAACATAGATTACAATAATTTTATAAATACAGCACAGCAGAAAAAGTAAAGACATTTAGATATTTCCTTTGTTTGAAGTTATTTCCTTTGTTTGAAGTGCTAAGCCTAAAAAGAGATGATTTCACTGATCATACTATCATTACTTAAAATTGAGCCTTGTAGAGAAATGGAACATAATAAATGGAACATAATAATAGGACACAGCATAAAACCATTGTTGAGTATAAATGCCCTTTTCCCTACAACACATGGCTGCCTGATAGGAACTCTGCACATGTGGCCATGGAATTCCATGTTTACTGTTTCTCACAGACATCACAGCTTCTGACTCACTCCTGCAAGAAGCCAAGTTAGGATTGTTCAGCCTTGCTGTGACAACAGATTTCTATATATTCTGTAACTGGCAGTTCTGTCTTTAAGACTGCCTCAAACACAAGGGTTTGTGTCTTCCAGAATTAACACAGCTAGCAGATATGAACTATTTTTCCTGTGCAACATAGGAACCCACAGGCTTTAATGTGTAGCAGCCAGGCAAATTCAATGGAAAAAATTTTTAAAATATGTAAATATAACTGAAGAAGAGAATATTCTGTTTCACTCAAAAATTATAACCATCTTGTGAGACCCAAATGGATGCTTACTTTAATACATGGCAGACATCAGCTAACAGAAGTATTGTGAACAAATTTTATAGTCACAGTACAGTAATTTCCTTGGTTATATAACTGAGACTACATATAGTTAAGGCATAGAGGACTGAGTAAGCAAGAGAAATGTCATATAATGAAACATTTAAAAAGAATTATTACTATATGAATGCAAAGTAATCAAATACATCAGATGATCAAACAATGCCTATCATCTGAAATGCTGCTTTGCCCTAGCATGAATTCTTGGTCACCTAAGCTCTGAAATAGGACCTAAAGGGAATGCCAGATGCAACAGAATTAATCTTTTAACTTCCTAACTTCAGGGCTCTTCCATCTTTGTGCAAAACATCTTTGCATCCTGGCACCTGGACCTTGCTGAAAGACTGAATATAAAACTAAATAAATTTTCATATGGAGAAACTATAACAAACTCCTAGGTCTCTAGCTCAGTTTACAGCCTACAAGCACTTCTCAAAAATTACTTTTAAGCAAATGTCCCTGGGGGAAGAGAACAGAACAAGAGTTTTATGTAGTTAGGAACTTTTGACAGTTTTGCTACAAATTACCCCCTTAAGTAGAATGAAGATTTACTTTCTAAAATGCTCAATACTATTTCCTTAGGTAAAAAACTTACATACCAAGTGTTTGGAGGAAGAAATGATTTGATGGTTTGTGGGTGTTTGGTTTTGTTTTGTTTTTTTACTGGGGGAGAACAACAATATCCTTTGAAATTCAGTATAAGGCAAAGCTCTGGTGAATTTTTCCTTTTTCCACATAACTACTAGGTATACTGGTTCTGTAAAACAAATCAAGTCTTACAAATATTTCCATAATCTTTTAAAATTACACATAAAGATCCCTTTTATAAATTCGGCTAAACAGCAAAAACAGTTATTTAAAGAACTTGTGAAACTGTATAAAAACCCAAGTGTTTTAACATGAGAAAGAAGAGAATCAAAATCTTACCTCAAGTGTCAGTTAAGACCATAACTTTCTTTTCAGAGCAGGACCACAGCATAAATCTATTCATGCTTTCTTTTCCATCTTTGCTTTACTTCCTCCAAACTCTGTCTAGATTTGCGAGTACTTACCACTCCTTCCTCCAACTTAATCTAGATTTTGTATATTATTTTTCTCACTCTATTCCTTCTACCAGCAACTTAGAGGAACCTGGGTAGATTGTTTTTCCTTGTTAGTAGGTTTTGTTCACCACCAAACCTTGTATTAGTGACACCTCCAGAGAAGCCTGTCTAAAGTGAATCCTATATTTTCTCCACAGCAACAAATGCTGAATGTTCTCGACAGTGCGATAAAATCTATTTATTTAAGATGGGAGGACAATTTCTTTACTTGTAGTGACGTGTACATCATATCCTGGGCTAGTCTGGCATAGACATGCATATTAGCTAGTTCTGGCACATCCCTGATAATACCAATGTTTGTATTTGAGTGCTTTCAAACAAAAACACCCTTCTGCTTGTTTGTCAAGACACATAGCAGATCTGCATATACAGAAACACTGTACTGTACTGGGATCAAACTGGGATCTTTGTCTGCCTTTCAAAACACTACAAATGAGGTTTAATGAATTTTCCTTCATCTACAGAGAAAAATTTAACACACTGATCCTCTTATCACTCTTGAAACATGCACATGATAAATAAAGAGAACTTTTCAAAATTTGAGCATTAATGAATTGGCCAATTAATGTAATTCAAGTATTAACTGAACAGGCAAACTGTTAATGAAAAAATAAACATGTAAATACTTACCTGACATAATCAACAAACTAAAATTATACGCCCTTTCAAAACATACATTAAATATACTGCTAAGCATATATATATATATGTAAGGCCCAGAATTAAAATATTTAGAATAAAACATAAAAAGCTCAAATTTTAAGAATTTGTAAATGCATGTGAGATTGTACAATCTGCCATTGTAAGTGCTGACCTATATATTCCTTCTTTTTAAGGTCTTCATATTTAAAAGCTATTAGTGGTGGTGTTTGAAATCTATAACTAGTGAAGTTTTGTCTTCATATAAATAGCAATTGTCTCCAATGGGCAAGTTTCACCTCAAATGAGCCAAATTTACTGCTCAGCAGTAGAATAAACACAGGAACATGCATTCCACTTACACATATTAAAATAAAAAGCCTTCTGTATTATACCTGCTGTCATGGTATCTGTGGGGATGATGCTGCAAAACATCTTGAAGAAAACGCTCCATCAAGCTACTGGTACCCGTACGATTCCTACAGTATGTTGTAAAATGTCTGTGCTGGGAGCTGAAAATGTGCTGGGGAAAGATGCAACAGATGATTAGTCTAATACTTCTGCTAACACACAGGCCTAGTCCTAAAAATTCCTTCCCAGGTTAAACGTTACACCATTGCTATGAAAATATTGAAATAAAAAGAAAAATCTTCTTTTACTATTTTAAAATCTTAATTGAGATTTTTAAGTATGTTTAGGCAGTCTCAAATAATACAAAAAAGGTATTGAAGCATCTTTCTGAGTTGGAACTTAAATTAGTGGTTCTCGTAGCTGCTGACAAATCTCTTCTAACTAGTACAAATACTCTCACAAATCCCACAGTTGCTTACAAGTCTCTTAACCAGAACAAATACTATAAATACATGTATAAATTACTTATAATATTCTTGAACTTAACATGAGCAAACATCCTGCAATTCACTCAAATTAACAAGAATTTTCTTAAGTGCAGAAGATTAAATAGGCTTCTACTTTCTCATTAAAAAAGTCTGTAAGACAGGAGACTGACAAAAGAACTGAAAACGGTTGATCAAATGTCTCCAGCCTTGATATCAAAGATATTACTATAACCCTAGTACTTTAAAATATATAGAGATCTCAAGATTAAAGACACAGAGAAAACCATAATGGATGCAATGTGTGGCACTTCGGAAAAGCAGCTGTGTGCCACTCCATCAGCATGTTCTACAAGAGGTAACAAATAAGCAATGGATCTTCCTGAGGGCACATAACGTGCAATTCACAAACAGCTCATTTTTCACTCAGTTTTGGTTGTGTGGTGTAGAAACTGATATTTATGAGTTGATAAAGCCTTAGGTACTCCTTGCTATCTGCTGCCAAATCATGCAGAAGCTGCCTCACCTGTTCCAGATTACTGTAGTGTACATGGCAACAGTTGCAGTATCCCTGTCTACTTTGCACAGTGGATGCTCCAGGCCGAGGATGTTCTTGTCCTCTTCTGTGTAAACTGAAAGAAGCAGATAATATTGTCAAGGCATGTTGTGTTGTTTAATCCATGCCCTTAGCATTGAAATTCTAAATATCTCTCTTACTACACAGATTTGCAAGATAAATGTTTCCTTTTTAGAACTGTAATGGTGAGACTATGTATTTTTAATGGTGAGACTATGTATTTTAAAGTATTCTCAAGCAAATTTCACTAAAAAACTTTTTTCTTAAATGCAGAACAAAGGATAACAGCCTAAAGGCACAGTTAGCTGAAATCTGAAAATAATTGCTTCAAAAGAAAAAGGCAATTTTTTCTTTTCATTCGTCTGTTTGTTAGTATTTTAAAATAAAAGAAGACAAAAAACACTTGACACCCACATGGTAGTTTGGGGCACTACAACATACCTTCCCCACAGTTTTTACCAGTACATGGGTGTAAGATACAAAGGACCTCCAATCATACACTTAATCGCTTTTGTGTCACTGTCATCCATTACATAAGGTAACAGATAAGGCTGAAAAGCAGATTCTTCCCATTTTACTTTGGTAAGCAGTAAGCTGGATGCCAGTTAGATCATCACCTAACTTACCTGCTACTGCTGTCCTGTCGTGGAGAGCCCTCAGCACCATGTCTTTGGATTCCTACAGAAAAACAAAAACAACAACCAAGAAATAAACCAACCAAACACACATGTACAGAAGACAAAAACCAATAGAGTATCAAGGAGATGGAGAGTTTTACCTGCATCTAGCTACTTCTCTTACACTGCATTTGTCAAAACTACTATTTTAAAGGAAGATAAAAGTTTTAGTAAGTTCAAAAAAGTGTGAAGAGATCCTTTTGTTTTTAAAGTTCATCCAGCAACTTCATAAAATAAGCTTTACTGTTTCAAATCTGAGGTGAGTGAGTATTTCTACTGATTTGTCCAAGTTCAAGACTTGGCCATCTACACTGGTACTGCAACATCCATGATTACTGAGATAAAATGTAAAGTGTCTCAAACAGCTAACAACAGGACAAGAGAATTACACCTACATGGAAACTTTGTCGATGATTCAGAAGTCACTCCTTCCATCTAACTTCCATAATGAAATTTAAGAAATCAAAGTAAGCAATTGAACTACAAGATGAGCTAATACTTCTATTGATAGTTATCACATTTTTAAATGTAACTGCAACAAAAACTTCTTTGAACTTTTTCAACTTCTTACCTTGTGCTGAAGAAGCAGAAGCTTCATCAGATCGTTTGATTCTCTCAAACATCTGTAAGTAAAAAATTTTTAAAGTCAGTAATTTAAAAAATTAATTAATTTAAAAAAATTTTAAAGTCAGTAATTTTAAAGACATTTTAAAGACTGAAGCTCTTCCTTCAGTCCAAGCTTCTTTAAAAGCATTAAACTGTTTCAGCTATAGACCAATACCTGATTTAAATGAAGCTGCATTCTAAAAAGAAACTTCTGCTTTACTAGGTTACCTTAATGTTACATTTAGCAATACGTTTTAGCTTTGATAGAAGGGGCTAACTTTTAATTAATGAAATCAAATACTATACTTATGAGCAGAGCACACACTCTGTTAAGTTATTAAGCAGTAACCTCGTCAAATTAATTTAATTACTTAATTTCCTAAGTTGCCTTAACAATTAAGACGAGAGAGATATGTAAGAAAACCCATATGAGACCGATACAACACAAAGTAATTATCTAGGCTGGAAAAGGAAGCCTTATTACTCAAAAGATCTGCCAATCAATTTTGAATCTCACAATTTTAAATAAAAATATGACTGCAGCAACAAGCAGTTCCATGCTTTGGGGTGTCCAAACACAAAGGACTTTCAGGTCACACAGGCCTTTTATGCTATGGAATGTTAACATTAAATCAGTTCTTTAGTACCTACCTTAGAGACACCAGCCTTCCTCATGCACCAAAGCTGACTCAAGACTAGCAAGCAATAAATGTCAAACAGGAGGCCATTTGCAGTGCAGGACACTTCTCTCATCCCATCTGGCAACATGGAAGTTAAAGAGCCTTTTAAAATAACATTAATAATGCATGTTTTCCATGCCCTAAGGCATGTAAATTTTTCTGTACCATTTTGCAAACAGTTGAACAAATGGCTAAATCTTTTTGAAGTCTACAGCACATCTTTTATTAATATAGAAGTAATTTTGACAGTCTTTCCTATATAAATGTTAACCATTCCTTCTGGAATAACTTTGTTTCTTCTTTCTTCCTCATGGGCCCTGTGTACTAAACACTGTTGTCCTTTCTGAGACTATGCACTGCTCATGATAAAATACTTGAGCTGTAATAGCAGTTATGGTCAGAAGGAATATCTTAATAGCTTATCTTAATAGCTCAACTTTAAGCAGCCCCCCACCAACATAATCCACCAAAACACCAAACTCCTTCTACTTCCGATTGTGTTACGATTTATGTAATAATAATAAAAAACAAAATAAACAAGAAACCCCAGCTGTTCTAATAAACCTTTTCATCCAGCAGCTGAGAAAAGGTTTTTTGACAGATCAACTGATCTCAATAGTCCTGTTCTATTTCCTATATACTGCCAGGATCTGAAAGAAAGTGAAGGAAAAATACAGAAAACTATCCCTCATGAGGAATGCCTTATGTAAAATCACTTGTTCTACCTGCTTGAAGTCAACTTCCTGCTATTTTAAGTCTTACTGTAGACATACAATGTTATGATAAAGCTACAAGTGTGGCAAGTGTAGCAACCGCAGAGGAGGGAGCCCCAGGGGTGAGGCAGTGAGGCAGCTCCACAGCCAGCAGGGGACACCACAACCATTCATCCCCACCCACTGCTCCAAAAGGAGATTAAAGACACGCCAACGTTTAGTTCCATGTCAAAGATGCTGAGGAGTGGTAACTGCAGTATGTTGGAGGACGGAGGAAAATCTGTTGTCTTAGAGGAAAACCTATTCTCTTTATATCAGTGTTTTGAAAAACCCCTAGTTTTCAGGGGTAGTGTGAGGATATACAGCTTGCTTACCATCTGAAGCTAAGCTTAACCCACAAGCTAATAAAATTAAGGAAACCTACTATGTAGATGCCTTGTTTATGTTGCCAAAATCTGGACTGCCTGAGAGCATTAATTTTTTTAAAACAGGGACTACAGCTATAAATCCACAAAGGATTTTTCAGATGTTCAAGGAAAGACTGCATAATTCTGCCTTGGTTAAGATATTTACAGTTGCAACTATGTTAAACTGTTGGATTAAGAGTAAATAAATACTATCTGTTCAAGATAAATGTTAAATATTTTACAACCAAAAAAATCCTTTAAATTGTAACAAATGTATAAACAACCAGTTACATGCAGAAATATTAATATTTGACTTTGTAAAACTCTAATCAAGCTATTTTAGCAGCTGTCTCTAGAACCAATGCTTCGTTTTGGCTTCATTGAACTACTCCGTGTACAGCAGGTAGACTATGAAAATCTTCAATCATATTTAACAACACAACCAAAAGGTATGAAACACATTAAAATTTAAAAAAATAATTTAAAAGAAAAAAAAATCAGTGCTGTATTCTGATAGTATTTGGGCGTCAAAGGCATCAGATAAACTCTCCAGAGTGTCTAGAGTGACACTCCAAACATTGTCACTCTTGCACCGCAACAAGTAAAATAAAAAGGGTGAAAAGGCAATAAAAACTGCTCCTCGAAATACACTCCATGAACACCTCAGCCCCCGCTTCACCTGAGAGCAGCTGCGCTGGGCAGGCAGGGGAGAACAAGTCCCTCCCCTAAGCAGAGGCACAGCCAAGCGCCTTCCCACAGCGCTACCACAGCAGGGAGGGAGGCGGCAGCTCCGCGCAGGAGCGGCCTCTGACCAGTGGCCTCACCGCAAGGCGCGGGTCCGGTCCCGTCCCGGCTGCACCGAGCCCGCGGAGCCCGCGGTGCCCGCCTGGCCTCGCCCCGTCTCCCGCCGGGCCCCCCGCCCGGGGCGGAGAGGGGCCGGGGCCGGCTGTGCCCGCGGCAGCTCCGCCCGCCCCGCCCCGCCGGGAGCCGCCACCCGCGGCCGGGCGCTCAGGGGCCGCTGAGGCGGTCGAGCACTCGTCCGCCCGCTCCCGGTTCCCCGGCGCCGGCTCACCTCCATCATTCCCCGCTCGCTCTCCAGTGCCGCCCTGGGGTCAAGGGACGCCATCCTCTGCTTCCTGCTCCGGGTCGGCGGGCCGCGCCCCGCGAAGGGAATGGCGGGAGCTGCGGTTCCCGGGCCGCTGCTCCCGGCCCGGCGCGGGCGCCTCCTTCCCTCAGCGCCGCGCTCCGCCCGCCCGGGCTCCCGGCCCGCAGCCGCCATGCGGCCGGGCTGTCGGAGCTGGCTCGGCGCGCCTCGCGCGGAGCCCCGGAACCCCAGAGCCTCGCTTCCTGCAGCGCAGCCGCTGCAAAACTGCCCCAGAACACCTCGGGGTGGCGTCTTTTGTCAGCCCCGGCAGGGTGGTTTTGGTTATGGAAAAGTAACCTCTTAGCTGAGTTTAATTTCAACAACTGTACTAGTCATTTTCTCCTTCTAAACACAGTATTTCATGTACTTGAAAGCAAGCTAAAGCGTTACCTTATTTTATTTTATTTTCAGCCATTAAAAGTAGCTTGCTTTACACGGTGTGGATTGTTAAAGTAGGTTTTATCAGAGCGTTAAAGTCTGACTTTACCAGAGTTAATACTAGAGCTGCTTTGCTTCTAAGTGGGCTTAAGAATGTGACCTTACCTCAGGTTCTCTTACATTCCTTTACAGAGTTTTGAACGTTTATCTCATCTCCTGTGGGAAACCAGCCATTGCATATTTCTCTCATTATGCTGAAGCAGCAGGGTGTTTCAGTAATCCAGGCAGACACAAAGTCAACACAACACCCTTATGTGTGAAGACAGGTGCAGATACAGCCTTGGATTGTGCAATGGAGGGAGAACAATCCTGAATGCACTGCAACACAGAAAATTTAAAGAAGTTGCTGTTAAAAGGCTCTGCTGTGTGGCTATGTGATTATGAAACCATGGCTTAGAAATGTCCACCCACGCTGAGCAAGTAATTCAATACAAATTTCACATGACAGAAGAGTAGGAGAAGGCCTCTCTTTAGGAAGGCTGGATTTAGTTGCTGTTGGATTCTTTTGATACATACATGCCTATGAATATATATTTCTTGCTGAAAAATAAATATTTATTACAAAACAAAAGTTGTCTGATGATACTTTGTTGCCTAGTACAATACACAACTTGGGAAAACTGGAACTTTCGGCTGAGAGCATTTGCACGCATGGAAGGCTCAGGCACGTGCCCAAATTATTGCATGTCAGCAGAGCTTCATTGTTTAAACATGTGGCAAACACATATATAGACATGTTATCTTAGGCTAAAATAGTTTACTTTTATGGTGGTTTATGGCAGGATTAGTGAGTTACTGTGGCTCTGCTAACTCCATAGCTTATTGAAACAAAGGAAGCTTGGTTACATAGCTGAGGCACTGAAGTTTTTTTTCCAGAATGGCTCATATGAAACAGAAGCCCTTTTTAGCTATGAGAAATCGATGCACTCTGTCTTATAATGCCATACAACATGTCCTCAGCACATTCCTGAATATTTTTGCAAGATAGAATGTAATTTTCTTCTCTTGGACTGTCACTGAAAGATTTCAGAATTTAGGCTTGTGTTGCCAAGTGTTTCTTAGCTTTCAACTCTTTCTGTATTTATGAGGTAGAGGTTGCACCTTGATTCAAATTCATGTAAGGCGTTGAGAGAGATTACTGTCCTTCAGTCTCCTCTTCCCAGTTAGGGAACTACTCCTCACATATGAACATTGAGTAGGGCTGACAAACTTCCCTTCCTCTTAAAAAATTATACTTTCTCTTAATGTAAGCCTCAGACTTTTTTTTTTCTCTTTGCTGGCATCTTTTCTCATATATTCAGATTTTAAAAACTGCCCCATACCTTTCACTGCACTGCTTTCTACTTTTACTTTGATTTGTTGTAGTTTTCGCTTCTGTTATCCAAATGTAAGTCAAAGTTGTACCTATGAAATCATTTAGACAAATTAACAAAGACAGACTCTTTCCTAAAGAGTGTCAAATTGCTTCCAACAGCTGGGTTCAGATTGGAAAAGAGATAATGTGATGAAAGAAAATCAAGCTTGGTAAAACTAGCTGGCAGGAAACTCTTGGCTAGGTTTTTAGTTTGTTGCATATGTACTTTATGCATTCTGATGTTATAAGCCTAATTTATCTTAAATAGTTGTTTTGGTAAAGTTCTTCAAAGGATCTGAGCTAAGTGTTCACTGACTGACTGACAGCTGAAGGTCTGGGGCTTGAGCCATGCAGGAGTTACTTTTGCCAAATGTTCCCAAAGATGGGTTGATGGTTTTAGCCTGGATTGTAACAAGGCAGTGTGACTATGTGTGTAGATTCTAGAGAACTTCACATTCTGAGTAACCTTGGGGAAGAAGTCTCTTTCCAACTTTACACTTGAGTGGCTGTTCCATAGTGCCTGGCACTGTATGAAAACCTTTAATTCCTAAGAAGTAATTGTAGTCTTTCTCTGAAAAATCTGATGTTGGCTACTGGCTGATATCAGGTATGAGACTTATGGAACAATTATCTGGTCCTCTGTGGTATTCTAGTTTTGCAATTTATTATGAATTCTGTGATATTTAATAAGGTTTTTCAAAGCAAAAGAAAATAATTCCTCACAAGTGTAAAAGGTAAGGGTAATCTCTTCACAAACCAGAGCTTCTTGTTTTCTTTGCTCGCCTTTTCCCAAACAGTTTGCTGGAATTGACAGATTACTACTACACATTGATTCTTCTCTATTTTAAGTATTTTTCTCATTTTTGAATGAAAAATGTATGTTTTTTAAAAAAATAATAATGGTCTTTTATTTACTTGGATATGGCACTGAAACGAAATTAAAACCAAAACAAATTTTTTCTCTTTTTCTTAATTGTTTAATCAATCACAAAGCTTGACAGTTGTGTAATATTTGGTACATGATTGGATAGTGACCAAGAAAAAAATTTGATATATCATTAAGAAGCTTTAAAAGACAGCTTTAAAAAATAATTTTTGAAATGCATGGGCTGATCATTTTTTCCTAAAAATATTATTTTACTTTCTTATAATCAAGCCTTATATTTTTTAAAGGTGACTTGAAATATGAAACAGTTTGACTCTTTTTCCAATATCTTATTAGAAGAAAATCCTTCTCTAGTCAATTTTTAATTGATATTTGGAAGCCATGCTGCTGCTTTCACAGGCTTGCCTTGTCAGTTTGTGGGTTCTTTGCACTTTTTTCCACTAAAATTGCTCTCTATATTTTATTTCTGTATACATGTACAGAATGTAGAGATTTTTTATTATAATAGTGCTGAGAAAAGTTCTGGGATGCACTGATCCCAGAGGGTTTTATTACTGCTGTTAGGACTGCTGTTGCTGTTCATTTGCTGGCAGAAGGAGCAGCTGAGGAGACAACTCTGAAAGGCTTGCTTTAAACAGTATGGCTACAAAATGTATCCAAATCCAGTGCTTTCAGAAACTTTATGTATGATGGGCTTCTAATCATCTTACATTAGATTTCAAATCCATACCTTAGCTCTGCTACATGTTTTAAGTCTCCCCATTAGCTTAAATTAACTTGTTTTTAGGGTGTTCTTTTCTAAAAGAAAATGCAAAGAAAATAAACCAGCAGTTGAGAAGTTTGTATGCTAAAGAGCATTCTGTTTGCAGAGAACAGATTTTAATAATAAAATGAATAGTTTCCTGTTACAGTAATTTCTGTTTTCAGTTTATGATCAGTAAGTTAATCTCTCCAAAATAACTCTGCCTGATTTTTTAGGGCAGTGACATGAAGGAAGGATCTGAGTCAGTAATTAGGCTGTAGGTGTCTGCTCATGAATTGCAGGATATTCTTTGGCCTTCATGTTGTGCATGTAGTTTTTTATAGCTTCAAAAAAAAATGTTCCTTAGAATTTCTCTATTCTGTTTTCCATTGTTTCATATTTATTTCCAAATGTAACACCAATTTTAACATTGTCTGATTGATGTAGTCAGATTGACCCTTGAGAACTGCAAGATTTTCTCAAGTATTATTGTTGATTACCAAATTACTTGGAAAAATATGATAATTTCTGACATGTGTTTGCTGGAAGATGCAATTGAAAGTCATAAAATGACTCAATTTCCTCCATGCTGAAGGGGACTCTGCAGGCTGAGAGCCTTCAGATCTGAAGGGAACAGAAACACCAGAGGTTCTTGTGCTAACCACAGTCAGATAACATGATGGAAATACACTTATACTCAGCACTGAGTTAATCTGGTCTGCATAGCACATTGTTTGCTTTAGCCTGTTTTAAACCATCCATTTTATTAACAGAAAAGATAACAAATGAATGTGGCTTTTAAATCAAATGCCAATGAGAGTGTTGAAATATTTTAAATAAGTATAGTAGATGACTAATACTCCCTTATAGCCTACCTCACATTTTGTCACAGTAGGAACTCAAGGCATTTTTGCATAAGTAAATATTAATTCCCATTACCCCAGAAGTCAATAATGTCTTTCTGATACAGAGAGATAATTTTCTCAAAACTGCTTGGAAGGTTATTAATTCTGTTTATCAAGAATTTTCAAGCTTCCATAAGTTTCAGCTTTTACCCCGGTCATATTCTGAATTACATCCATTTTAATGGAACTTTTCTGATTTTAAATAGATGGATATGAATTTAAGGTAATCTGGAATGTAAAATGCTTCTGCAGGTTCCTTGTCTGTAGTGCAATCTTTAGGAGTTGAGGAGTTCCAAATATATGCTATTGAGTCAGTGGATGCTCTGCAGTTTAAGGTGGGGTCAAAATGTATTCCCAAGGAAGTTAAATAAGTGCTGTTTTTCTCTGCTCTGGCTGTTCTAAATAATGTTTAACTTTTTTAATGTTCCTGCAATAAACCACATAAGATATTCTCTTACATCTGAGAAAAAGTGGACTGTCTACTTTGCTTTACCATGGGAATAATTTAAAGAAAGTTTTCTTTATCCTATTCAGGAAGCAAGTAGAAAGTTAAACAAGAGAAGTCCTGGGTTTTTTTCCCAAAGACAAAACCTAATTTTAGGCTAAGAATGCTGGTATGCAAAAACATT